ACCCTGGCGGGCCGGGCCAGTTTTATTTACCTGCTGACGTGGCAGGTTCGTCCGATCGCGGCCCCCACTGGCCGCGGTTCGCTGTCCCAGGCCAATGGGGGCGGCGGGAAGCGGCGCGGGCGAGCGATGTGCTGGCCACGGCTTCTCGCTGCCCCCATTGGCCCGGGATGGCGAACCGCAGCCAGTGGGGGCCGCGATCGGCCGAACGTGCCGCGTCAGCAGGTAAATAAAACTGGCCCGGCCCGCCAGAGTGCTTACCCTGGCGTGCCGAACGTTGCCGATCCCTGGACTAAGGTATCAAAAACTGCAACAAAATTTTTCAGGTGTCAGAGTCTGCTTTGATTTAATTTTCTTACCCAAGGGTATATTTTCAGCTGGGCTAAGATCTGGCCTTCCATAGTTTATTGGTACAGTTTTGACTTGCGAAATAATTTGGGGTGCAAATCTGAGTCATTTTACTTGTAGCTAAGTGATTTGAACCCACGGTTACTCATATGTACTAATAATTAAGAATATATGCACATTTTGTGGGTGTGATTGGCACCCACAAAAAGGATTTCACCCTTCCATAAATTTATCTTTCAGTATATTTTTTGCTTGCTTTAAAATCAGGAATGCAAGCTTTGTGAACAGTGGGTCAAAAGGTCACCTAAGTGTTGTTATTGCCTGTGCAAGTAATTTTTTACTGGAATGCTAATTTGTAACCCAACAGCAAGACTCAAGTGAATTACTACAGCAATTGTATGAAAAGACAACTATTCCACTATCTAACAAAGGAAAAAAATCACTGTCACAAAACTGTGACAAATCAAAATAACGCAAGAAGAAATAATTATGTTTCCTATTTTTCACTGCCTTGCTTATAATATTATTTGCAACAAAGTATAACTCATTACAGTAACAAACAGAAATGTACAGTGCTGTGGTTTTGTGCAAGAAAAGGGCAACAGAAATACTACTATAATCCTATTGAGTAGAAAGGATGACTTTGTTTTGAAAATTTTCTATTACAAAAAGTTTAGACTCAATGTAGACTGTTAAAAAAACTAATAGTAATAGAAATATTATCTTCTCCTTTTTTAAATTGACCCAGTTCGTTTAGATGTAATTATCACCTTGGATTGTTTGTGAGGCAAATAGTGCCACATTTTATTAATGCAAATTGATTAGAATTGATTATTTCTAGCATCCAAATTGAATGAGATGGAAAGAGTAAACAGCATGGACTAAGAGAAAATTGAGAGTTGTAAATATTTCTATTTTATCATATGTCACTGGTAAGTAAACTTATTTTTTAAGGATGCTACCTGTAACCTGCCAATGTTACTGCTAGAACTACAAGATATGCTTCTGCCAGACGAGATAGACCCAATGGAAAATTAATACGACTTTTCTGGGTCGCAGAACTGTGTATGCTACACAACCTGCATTCAGGTTAGAATCAATGAAATAGGGAAAAGAATTCTGAGTACTGTTTGAGTCAGTGCATTATATGTGTTGTAAAGCACAAAATTTCCATAACATCTTATTTAGTATACACATAAGGAAAAAATTGCGCCCAGCACAAAACACTGTGTACAAAGTATAACTTCACCTATCTTGGTTAAGTGGAGTGAACATTACTTAAGATTAAACAGTTCTGTCTTGTGAGTCATAATTCATAGACTGGAAGAGTTCCTACTCCCAAAATTGCCTTGCTTTACATTTAAATTTACTCAATTATTTTTTTCATCAACACAATTACTAAAAATCTAGGAAGTCACTAGTTAAGGAAACATGAATCATCTGTGCATATTTATAGGTATAGGGGCCTGATTTTCATTTATACTAAGACCTGTTTACATAACTCTGGGAATGTTAATGGACCTTAAAGTGAGTGTAAATGTAACTTATACCCACTTTGGTCTTTCTGCAGTGTCAGGGTGGGATAAGTCTTAGTGTAACTGAGAATCAGGCCCATAAATCTTTACATTTTCAAACTTTTAAAAGTGGAATGGGACAGGAGAGTGGGTGGGCACGGAGGGATGGGTCTAAAGGGAGATCCAATGAGGTAGGGGAACATGCAGGGGATTAAGGGCAGAGCTTGGAGCTGGAGTAGAGAAAGACATGGAGCAGGGCTGGTAAGTTTGCCAGCCAGAGAAAGCATCTCTTTAGCATAACTACACATTTTGCTTTCTAGGAAATTCCATGGTATAAGTCTTCCTCTCTATCCTGACCCTGTCTACTATTGAGGACATGGAAGTGGACAGAGAGAGCGGCAGACTTTCACCATAACTTTCCTAGGAAGCAGAAACTGTAGTTCTAGTAGACTGCCACTTCCTCTGGATGGTGTACCTGCTATGGTCTGCTAGAGAGCATCCCCACTCTGACCAACCTTATGTCTCCTGGTGAACCTTAAAAGATTAGTAGGGCCTAGGAAAGCATTCTTGGCAACTGAAGCCAACATAGGCAGTGACGTACTCATGCTTCAGCACTTCATTATCTGTCCTCGAAGCAGGCTGTTTTTACAAAAAAAGCTCTCTCTCTCTTAGGTTCTCTTGGTATAAATAAAAACAGTTATGAATAATGCTAATACTTATTTTTGTGGAGTTTATATATACTGTATATATAATTTAGTCTAGATTGAACATATGCCTAGATTTATATGTTACAACACAGCCACATGAGCTAGCAGTGTATGAATAAAAGTTTTGACTGCAAATCTAATTTCAAAAAGTCTTTTTAGCTCTTTAATTGTTAAACAGACTTTTTTCAGGCTTTCTGGAAAATGCAATCTTTACCCTACAATTAGATAGTTGTAAATTTGGTGCTGATACACATTTTTCTCCCATATATAACAAAGGGATTAGTTATAAATATCAGTGCAACCTTCACTATGGCATTTCTACTGTCTCAATTGAGGTGAAAGAACATAGTGTGCATATGTAAGGCAAAATAAATTAATGGATTGAAACCTAAACCACTAAACTAGATCACCACAAAACCGTGTAAAACGAAGAAACAAATGGGAAGAAACCAATGGAAATGTTCTTTCTCAGCTTGCAACTTTGTGACAAAACAATATAGAAATTAAGACATAAAAGAGATTTATTCAAGCGGCTTGGACTTAAAGAGAGGCATTAGTCATTATTAAAACTCTTCTGTATGTTTTAGCCCAATGAAGACCTCATTAATAACTAGTGGGGAAAAAAGTGGGTTCTAAAAGACTGTCTTGATGAACAAATATTTGTTCATTTACCTGAAGCTATACTGGTCAGTTTTCATTCTCTGAAAATTAAACATTAGGGCCTCCTGTATTGTTTTTACCACTACGTTATTATTTTGCTCTAGTCTTCTTTTCTTTCCATGCTATTTCCTGGTCAGGCTATCTCAAGCACAAGCCACATCTGCTCTCTCAGAAGTCTTGCAATAAACAATTCAGATATGGTAGTTCTGAAGACAAGTTGTCGGCCATTAGACTTATTTTCCTTAATTAGGCTGCATTGGGTCCTACACCTTACACATTTGACTTCTATCATTAGCTATCAGGCCTTGAGCAAAAATGTATCCCTGCAGTTCAAATTCTAACATGAGGGGACATGGGGCCTCAAAAGAAGTAGTGAATGAAACAGGAGATGGGAAAATACAATATTGATACTCCACAGAGTAATGCTAAGATATGATGCTTCATGAACGTATGCAAAAATTCCATTACTGTACAGGAAAAGTTACGATCATGGGAACTATAACAGTAAGTGAAATCCTGGTTTTGTTACTACATCTAACTTCCTTTGCATTCAAATGATAACAAACGAATGATAACGAATACAGGTACACACATCCAAAACAAGTCACATCCCTCCCTGACTGCCAGCATGAAAGATGATAGGTAGGGGGGGATAGGCCATGAAGGCCTTGAAAGTGAAGACAAGCAGCTTATGTTTGATGTGATAAAAAAGAGGGAGCCAGTGGTAGGGTGACCAGATAGCAAGTGTGAAAAATCGGGACAGGGGGTGGGGGGTAATAGGAGCCTATATAGGAAAAAACCCCAAATATCGGGACTGTCCCTATAAAAGCGGGACGTCTGGACACCCTAGCCAGTGGAGAGATTCAAAGAGAGGGGTGACATGATCAAAGTGACAGGCTAGGAAAATGATCTTTGTGTAAGCGGGGGAATGGCCCCACTATTGTGGGGAACTTTCCTGGCTTCTGCACTACCCCGGTGAAATGGGCTAGTGGAAGGATCTGAGTCCCTGTTCCCACTTCCTTTACTCAGAGGCCTCCCTGCCTTGAGGCCTCTTTGACGCCACGAATAGCAACCCTCCCGTTTTGCAACTGGGTGCAGTTTCTGCCACGCAACTTGACATCTGGGTTACTTGCTACCACCTGGTCCATGGGGTTGCGAATCAGGAGGGATGGGGTATGTGGTCAAAAACACTCCCGATCTGCTTCCTGACCAGAGTGGCCCCTTTCATTGAATATGTGAAAAGGGAGGTAAGGTTTGGGGGTACGGAGCATGCCCCTAAGCCCAATGTGGGGTTGCGGATCAGGAGGGATGGGGTACGTGGTCGAAAACACTCCCGATCTGCTTTCTGACCAGAGTGGCCCCTTTCATTGAATATGTGAAAAGGGAGGTAAGGTTTGGGGGTACGGAGCATGACCCCAAGCCCAAGGTGATAGCAGAGTGGCCCCTTTCATCGATCTGCTTCCTCCTGGCTAGCATGCCCCTGAGCCCAAGGTGAGACCAGAGTGGCCCCTTTCATTTTTTCCATTGGCTTCTTCCTTGCTTATTTCCAATGACTTGGCTGCTCATACACCTGTCACTGGTCCAGGTAGGGTTGCAAAACGGGAGGGATGGGGTTTGTGGTCGAAAACACTCACGATCTGCTTCCTTCTGGCTAATGTGCCAAATTGATCTATTGGACAATTGAGGCACGCTGTTTCATTTTTTTGTGTGTGAATCCGTGAAAAGGGAGGTAAGGTTTGGGGGTACGGAGCATGTCCCTGAGCCCAAGGTGAGACCAGAGTGGCCCTTTTAATCGATCTGCTTCCTCCTGGCTAGCATGCCTTTAATTGTTTTAAATCCCTCCAAAGAGGAGGCAGCAAATTTTAAGCAGAAGTAAGGGCAGAGAGAGGGCAGTGGCTACAGCGAAGGTTACTGGGCATGCTCAGTTCGGGTGAGCATGCTCAGTACACCCAAAGTAGGGAAATTGGAGCAGGGTTTGTTTGCGTCGCTGTCTGGCAGAGTCCTTGTAACCCCAACAAGGCTGGGTCCAGGATTCCTGGAGGGCTCGACCCCCAACCTTGCTGTGGTCACCTAGCTCAGGTGCTAGGGTGTCCCCACTGCGGGGTACTCTCTCTGCACTGGATGCTTTCCAGACCCACTGATCATTACATACGATTTAAAGCAATACAGTTTATTTAATTAACAATTAGTTTAAAAAGGAATAAGGAAAAATGGGAAAGGTTAAAGGAAACACATCATCCCGCTCTGTGCCAGGGAACATAACAAACAGTGTCTCTGGAATGTCAGGGCAGTTCACAGTCTGTTTCTTGTAAGTCCCAGGCCTCCTTCTCAGGCTCTGGCTGTGCTACAGAGATGCTGCGGGTTGGACACTTGCTCTGCTGGTGGCCACATGCTCTCAGGCTCTAGGTGGCAGGACTCTTCTTCCCAGCGTTGCCCCCCGCCCTGTCAGGGTTACAATCCCCCTCCAAGTCTGGCCTGCAGAGCCTCTTGGCTGAGGCGTCTCCCTGTGCTGGGCCCACTGTCCAGGGTCCCCCTCACTCTCCCCAGCTGCTCACCGCACCCAGCTCCGGACTGCTCCAGCCCCGGCTCCAGCTCCACTCTGCCTCCGCACAG